CTGTTCCTTTCTTTCTGGGTTGTTGGATTGGCTCACATAAACATATCTTCTTAATATATAATGCTATTCTGGTGCCAACACCCCACACCTCTCCCTTAACCTGTACTGTTCCTTTTCAATACATTACACCCATCCAGAGATACAGTCCAGAATCAGTTCCACCAAGGCTTAGTGATACCGATGTGGTTACATTTGCTTCTCTGCACTATCATTCACTGTATTTACTATCTACACTTTGTTCACAATAAAACACAGGTTAATATGTCTATATGCATTTATCTTGACCCATGTTTTATTACTGAATCCTTTCTTGAGTTTGGTCTTGTATGATTTTCTGGGTACCTCTGGCATTTTCTATGGTGTCCAGTTTGTTAAATGTAGACAATTTTCTCCCTCTCCTTTACTTTTCAATTTAAAGTTTTTTTTATATTAGAACCACAATCAGTGTCATTGGACCAAAGAACCAGAGCAATGAAATCATATACCTTTCAAGGATTAAACTAAGTGGCCCTGGGCTAGTATCTGATCTCCCTACCAGTCTGTAAACTCAATGGAGACTAAGAATATCTAAACATTATCTAAATACTGCATCCCTTCCTCCCCACCCTGACATTACCTAGCACCTTCCCTGCATAAAGGAAGTGACTAATACTTGTTTGTTGCACCATCCTGTACTTCCCATTACCTGGACTTATTCCTTCATATATAAGAATAAGGGACTTCAAATAGATGACTGCTTCCAGAATGTAACTCTGTGGTCCTTTATGAATGTGAGGTGCTAAAGGATTTATGCCATAAAGCCAGAGAGAATGAGAAAGTCCAGAGACCTTGGGGAGAATTTCCCATTATTTGATGGCTAAGTGGCTTCATCTTGCTATTAAGCCTCAAAGAGCAGCCTCCACCCCAGCACTTAACTGCTGGAATCCAAGTGGAATTACTTGATGTCCAAATCGAAGAGCTTATTCCGGGATTTAGGCCATGAGGCATTATAATCCAATTTAATGCCTTAGCTCTAAGTAGAGGAAATGGGCCTTTTAAACTCATTTGTAGACTACAGCACCAAATTAATGGTCTCTGCTGTTGTTCATACAATGACCTGTATCCCAGAACTCCCAGACTGTGAGCACGAGGAAAAGTCTCTCTCTCACACCCAGTCTTTCCTCCCATTTTTCATTTCTATTATTGACTCAGAAAGTGGCTATTGTTTTTACCTATGAAGGGAAAGGTGGAGATACTCTAGCAACCTGGAACTGAGACTGGGATTGTTCTCTTAGATGGTCCAGAAGATTTAACTCACGTCTATCAACACAGCACAGTACAAAACAACTCAGCAGTGGTGGGGTACGTTTCCCCCACCTCCTCAATCCCAGACAAAAAGAGGTTTCATTTCACAACTTAATTCAGCTTCTCTTTCTGGCAAGCCCATTACAGTACAGAAAGCAATGAATATGGAGTCAGACAACCTGTGTTTGAATCCTGGTTCCTCTCCTTAACCACATGTGTGCCCCTGGGGAAGTCACTTAATGAGGTTTTCTCATCTTTAAAATGATTGGGTTAAACTAAATCTTAACCATTCTTAACCATTTTGTCATGCACCCCTTTGGAAGTAGGATGAAGTCTATGGATCCACTCTCAGAATGACATTTTAAAACACATAAGATAAAATACATAGGATTATAAAGAAAAATAATTATATTGAAATAGTCCATCAGTCAACGAGCATTTTTATGCCCACTACGTACCTATCAAAAAAAGGCAAAAAAAAATCCTGCTGTCAAGGAGCTCATGGTCTAATGGGGGAAACAACTATACAAACAAGACACACACACACACACAAATAAATTAGGATAGTCTCAGGGAAGACACTAAGATTAAGGAAGACTAGGAAAGGCTTCCTGAAGAAGGAGGGACATTAGATGAGACTTGAAAGGAGCCAGCGATGAGACCTGAAGGAAGCCAGGGAGCCAGGAGGTGGAGGGGAGGGAGAGAAGGAACAGCAGAGGAAGCCAGGGTCACTGGATCACAGAGGATATGGGGGCATGTAAAGTATAGGAAAACTGGAAAAATAGGAAAGGGTTAGATTATGAAGGGCTTTAAAAGCCAGGCAGGAATTTAGATTTGATTCTAGAGGTAATAGAGAGCCACTGGGGTTTACTGAATAGGGAGGTGATATGTGTTTTAGGAAGATCTATTTGATAGCCAAGTAGAAGATGGACTGGAGTGAGGAGAGACTTGAGGCAAGGAGATCAACCAGAAAACTACTGGAATAGTCCCTGTGTTAGATAACGAGGGCCTATAATGTTGTGGTTTGGGATGCTGGGAACCCCAAAATGCAAGAGTACAGGGGGTCTGCCGCAAAAGAATTCAACCACTCAAGCCCTCTTTCGGTCAGAGTAGTGAAGTTTTATTATAACACCAGTGAGGGCAAGAATCCTAGTAAATCTACTACTGTATCAGCAATAGAAATGGGCAAGATCCTTAGGGAATCTACTACTGCATTGCCAATAGGAATGGGCAGAGTTACTAGTGAGTCTGTAGAATTTGATGAGGATAAGACTGACATTTATATACAAAAAAAGACTATGAGAAGATTTGGACAGGATTAAATAGTGGTAAATAGCCTAGGGTGGTCCAGGTGCAAACAATGAAAGAAGTTAAATGGTCTGGGCTAAGTCGGAGGGCCACAGTGAAAGGACTACTGAGTATCCAGGTAGACTGCAATGGACCACATACCTCAGGTGAACTGCCAGTGTGGGAAAGTTCAGGGGCTTTTAGGGATCAAGGTACTACCACCCCATCAGTACCAGGGTAGTTTCAGAATCCCAGGCTAGATGATCTCTGGAGTCCCTTCCTGTCCTAAATCCTACAATTCTAACACCTGGGCAGTACTTGGCACATAGTATGCATTTAATAAATGCTTGCTGATTAGTTCCCTAAAGGAATTGTCACAAACATTAATAAACATGGCTAAATCAGAGGACCAACAAGAGTTTGTCCTGAAAGCTGGTAAAAAGCAGGGTATATGCACATACAAAAATATTTATAGCAGCTCTTTTTTGTGACAGCCAAGAATTGGAAACTGAGGGAATGCCCAAAAATTGGGGGATGGCTGAACAAGTTGTATCATATGAATGTAGTGGAATACTATTGTGCTATAAGAAATGATGGGCAGGTGGACTTCAGAAAAACCTGGAAAGACTTGTATGAACTGATACTGAGTGAAGTGGGCAGAAGCAGGATAACAACGTACACAGTAACAGTAACATTGTGCGATGACCAACTCTGATGGACTTTACTCTTCTCAGCAATACGAGGATCTAAGACAATTCCAAGACTCATGATGGAAAATGCTATCCACATCCAGAGAAAGAACTATGGAGTCTGAATGCAGATAGAAGCAAGTTATTTGCTCTTTTTTTTTGTTTCCTCTTTTCTGTGTTTTTTTCCTTTCTACTGTCTACGTTTATGTTATCTCTTCTGTTAGGATGCAGGTTACTGGAAGCAAGGACTGCTTCTGCTTTTGCTTTGTATCTCTAGCTCTTAGTACGATGCCAAGCACATAATAATATAATAAATATGGGCAGCTAGGTGGTGCAGTGAATAGAGCTTTCTTCTTGGAGTCAGAAGGACCTGAGTTCAAATCCAGTCTCAGACACATGACACTTACTAGCTGTGTGACCCGGGGGCAAGTCACTTAACCCCAATTGCCTCACCCCTCAAAAAAAAATTTAATAAATGCTTGCTGACTGAGACATGTGAATCTCTCAAGGCATCGTCAGGCACTCAGGTATGTATATGTGTCAGGACCCTGAGAAAGTGAACAGAGAATTCATCAGAAAGTCTGACTTCCAGAAACATACCCTTTTGCCCAAGCTAGCAGGAAATGTTTAGGAAAATCTTTGTGGTTTATGGTCAAGAGATTTTTGCCAGTATAAAAGGAAACACAAATGAGTATTTTAGGTGAAGAAAAACAGTAAGTGTAAATTCAGAAAACCTGGGTTCAAATCACAGCAATATGACACTTATTATGAGACTATGGGTTAATCACTACACCTCTCTGGACCTCAGTTTGCTCATACATGAAATAGGAATAATACTATTTATACTACTTAATTCATAAAGCACTAATAATTTTAGGTTCAATTAAGAATGAATAGCTGCGCCAGCACTGGCAGCAGAGCCATTATTGAGGAAAAATTCTCCCTTTCACAAATTCTCTAAGAGAGGGGCCAAATGACCAGCACATAGAACATATAGCCAGGAATTTCACAAGATCACTGGCTTTAGAAAGTCCTGGAAAAGAACTCGGAAACCTCATCCTATCTCTTCAGTGAAGAAACAAACATTTATTAAGCACCTACTATGTGTCAAGCATGCGCTAGACCCTAGCACAATAGAATTACAGATTTAGACTAGAAAGGTTCTCAGAGGTCATCTAGTCCAGCTTACTCATTTGCAGAAGAGGTACTGGGGCTCAGAGATCTAAAGGGTTGTGCCAAGCTCACCCAGGTTCATGTGAATCCCTAGTTCTCTATTATCACATAGCTCCTCTTATCTTAAAGAGGATAAAACAGGCCTCAAAAGGGTAGGTAATGTGCCCAAACTCACCCAGGGAACAAGTAGCAGAGCTTAGATTCTAATCCAGGTCCTCTGACCCTAAGACCCCACCCCATGTTTTTAGTCAAAATTCTCATTGGAAGAAGGTCCATTTCTCCTCTGCAAACATCATCAGTTAAACCACTTAGAGGGATTACACTTAAATTTCACACTGAGGACATTCCAAAAAGAGGACAAAAATTATCACTAATTTCCTCATCACCCCCAAATTCTTGGACACTTCCGTCTCCCTTCACCTAGTCACTGGCTCCAGCAACCAGGCTCAATGAGTTCAATTGTTGAATCAAGCAGAAGACATCATTAAGAAGAGGAACTTGCAGATCAATGAAGTCAATCCTCCCACCAAGAAAAAGGGAGAGGAAAGGGCCCCAGCACACACTTACCGGCACTCCCCAGGCACGTTGCATCCCCCGTGGAGTAAATTACATCCTTGTTTACATACAGCTGTGAACACAGAGACACGGTTGAAGCAGCAGCTAACAGAGGCCCTCAACAATGCCAGCCCCAAGCCTGTCGGAGCCATCAGGGCAACCCTCAGCTGCATTCCTAACTTATAAACATAATCGCATCAGAGAAAATCAGAGCTGCACGGGACCAAGCCAGAGTCTGGGACCAAGCTATCTATACTTTACCTACTAGCAGATCATCTGTTCCCAGTTTCATAGCATGACAGAACGCCAGAGCTAAAAAGAACCTCAGAGAATGCTGAATCCAGCCCTTTCATTTTACAAAACAGGGAAACTCATGGCCAGACAGGGTGCTTGCCAACAAATCAGCATCAGTAAAGAGGTCAGGACCCAGATTTCCTTGCGGTATTCCCCTTCCTTCCCCTCCCCCAGTCCTCCCAATCCAGGCTCTTTCCACTATACCAAGCTATACTTTGTGATCTACCACAAGTCCAACATTTCATCTCAACTGGAGTGATGGAAGAGACGTGGTAACTTAACCGTGGAACAAGATACCAGCTAAGATGGCCGATCGAGTAATCTAGAACTAGGAACTGCTGTCACATGAACATCTGGCCAACAGACAGATAAGTATCTGGCCAAATACACATGGCTACCTGAGAATCAAAGTTGCTAATATCAGGAACAAACTAAAATCTGTCTCCAAAGATACCTCCTGCAGAGGGACAGTACCAACAGTCAAATCATGGAATTTTAGTAATAGCTGGACTTTGTATAGCACCTTAAATTTGCAAAGCACTATATGTGTGCTATTTCTTTTGAGTCAAATGGTTATCGGCTGCATTAACAGGAGTTCCATTGCTCAGAATGAGGGAGCTGAGGACAGTCCTGCTGCCTTTGCCCTTGTCAAACCCCACCTAGAGTAGTCTGGGTCCAGACACATTTAAGAAGGAGCTAACAGGAGTCCAAAGGCACATAAAAAGCCTGAAGAGAATTCCACAGGTTGAACTGGTTGAAGGAATTGGGGATATTTAGGCTAGCTAAGACTTTGGGTGAACATGACTGGTGTCTATAAGTATTTGAAGGGCTATCACAAAGGAAAAGGATTATGACTTGATATCTCCTTGTCCCTACAAGGCAAAATCTAGAGCCAATCGGAAAAAGTTACAGAGAAATTTCAGACAAAGGAATTTAAAAATTCCTAATAGTAAGTTACTTCTTCAACATCAGAATTTTCCATAGCATTCTGTTTGGATACCTCCTTTCACTCAGTCACATTCTATCCTATAGACTATAAATTCCTTTATAAGAGGAACCACATAAAAACAACAGTAACAAATTTTATATAGCACTAACTTTGGCAGAGTACTTTACACATTAACTTACTGGCACTCTAAAACAATCCTATAAAGTACACATGACAGGCATTATTTTTTTTTTCTTTTTTTCTTTTTGGTGAGACAATCAGGATTAAGTGACTTGCCCAGAGTCACACTGCATGACAGGCATTATTATACCCATTTTATAGATGAAAAAAAATTGAGGCACAGAACGGTAAAGTGACTTGTTCATGGTCACGCAACCGGTAAATTGTGGAAGTAGAATTTGAATTCAGGTCTGCTTGACCTGAAGTTCAACATTTTATGTACTATGCTAGACTGCTTCTATGTGGTTGCTCAACGTGTCCCTTAGCTACCTGACATGCACACGGGCAAATATTTGCTGAATTTAATTAACTGTCAGAGATTTCAAAAGATGGAATGGACTACGCCTCATAAGGCAGTGAGTTCCCCATCACTAGAGGCTTCTCAAGTAGAGGCTGTAGATGAGCACCTGCTGGGGAATCTTGTGGAAGAGATTCCTGCTTGGGTTTGGGTTGGACTAGAGTCCTTTACAGGAAATTCTGATGAGTTGCCCACATGGTGTGAGGCTCTTAAAGGGCCACTACCGAGGTTTGAGAGCTATTTAGTATGAGGTCCAAGAGCTTCCCCAGAACTAGAAGGGCCCTCCCTTTCTCCCACTGAGCCAGAGTGACCCTTCTACATACAAAAGGACACAAGGATAACCAGTGGCTCCTACTCAACAAGAAGCACTGAATCACAGACGACTCTTAAACCCGTCAGGGGCTTACAAGGGCTCTGGTCTAATCTCCCTCCTTCCCACAGCCTCCCTAACAGAAGGCTAATCAAGCATACCCAATGATGGGGAATTTATTACCTTTCAAAATTGCTCAATTATGGGAAAGTTATAATTATTAGGAAATCCATCTTCATACTAAGCCAAAATCTAAACCTCTGTGACTTACTACTTCGTCCAAGTTCAGTCTCTTGAGACCAAGTACAAGGAGTCAAATCCCCTTTTAATAGGACAGCCCTTTAAATACTCGAGGCAATAAGCACATCTGCCCTCACCTTATCTTTGTAATGGTACAGTGGAGAAAGCGCTAGATTCGGAGTAAAAAAGACCAGTGAAGCTTTGGATGAGATAATTCTAAGGTCCTTTCCAGTCCTAAAGCCTGTGGCTCACGCCCTACCTCCCTCACATGGCTGTTTTGAAAGCGGATGAGAAAACAAAGGTGTACATGCACAGCTCTCACTATAGCTTCCAATTCCCCCAGCCTTCCTGTCATCCTCCTCAGGACATACTTCATTTTATATATATGATTCTTCTAAAATGTGGTACCCAGACCTAAATATAAACTCCAGATGTGATCTGAGGCAGAAAACAACCTAAAACGGATATTATTATGGGGAAGAAGGGTGGAATTGTAAGTCCCCATTTTCATTCTGTTTCTTTCTGTTACCTTGCTTACACTCAGGGCCCATCCAGCCTTCCATGCAGGCCTTATTGCCGTACTGGTCACAGGTGTAGTGGCCCACAAAATCATCCCGTGGCCTGCAGAACTTGTTACAGGTGCTGCTGTAGTAGTTCTCATCACACTGCACACGGATCTTCACCTCCAGGTGGGCCACGTGGCCACTGAAGTGTAAGCTCTTCCAGCGGTCCTCAGGGTTGATCATTCCTGCATGGGACACTCTCTCAATCAGAAGCCCATCTGACGGACAAAGAGAAAAGGGATGGAGAAGGAAGGAGAAAGGTAGAACTGATCATCTTGAGGAATATACATGAGAAATCCCTTCACAAATCCAACCTTCCTCTCCTTTCCAATGTGATCATTGAACTCAATTCAACAATTGATATGTATACATGTCTACTTCTCTAATAAAATGTAAGCTCTTTGAGGGCAGAGGCAACTCATTTTCGTCTTTGTGCCCCTAGCACCTAAAATAATAATAGCTAATACTTACGTAGAGCTTTAAGGTCTACGAACCTCTTTACAAATATCTCATCTTATTCTAACAATCCTGAGAGAAAGTGCTATTGTTATCCTCATTTTACAGACGAGGAAACTGAAGCAGATAAGGGTTAAGTGACTTAGCCATGGTCACGTCGCTAGTGATAAGGCTAGATTTTAACTCAAATTTTCCTGACTCCAGATCTGGAGTTGTATTCACTGTGCCACTTAGCTGCCTCAAGAATATTATGTGCTGAATAAATGCTTATTGAGCGAACAAACCTCTATTAAGTGCCTAAATAATCTAGAACCCTGTGCTTGGTGATGGCAGAGATACAAAGCTAGAGAGGGCACAGTCCCTGCTCTCATGGAGCTCACGGTCTGGAAGGAAGATAAGACATGGACGTGAATAGCCATAATACAGAGTAGTAGGTGACAAGTACTCTACTAGCATATATACATTAGAGAAGTGCCAAAGTACACCAAGCTAGGATAAGAAACCATTACTGAATGAAGATCAGAGTGGTCTTCCTGGAAGAGGCAGCATAAAAGTGGGATTTTAAAGAAAGAACAACATTCAATGGCCAGAGACTGGGGAAGGGTATTCCAAGCCAAAGAAACAACTGGAGATGAGGCACACAAGTGAGCATGCACGTGGTACATTCAAAGGACAAGAGAAGTTGTCCAACACGATTGATGTATAAATGCATGGAAATGAGAAAAATGAATAAGGGAAGAAAGGTGGGGTGATATCAGAGCTTGTGTAGGGTCCTGAATGCCAGGCAAAGGACTAAACTTTTCATAGCATGCTATTAGGGATCACCAAAGATTTATACTGGAATAATGATATGAGGTAAATTATAAAATTTTACAAAAATTATATAAAAGTATATATATTATATTATATTATTATTTTATAATAATACATTACATTAATATATAATATATACTCGTAGAATATATTATATTATATACTATATTACATATAAAATTATATGAATTACACAAAAATTATTTATAAAATAAAAATTTTATAAAAATTATAAAAAAATTAAAATTATTCTGGTAGAAATATGAAGGGCTGATTGGAGTGGGAGAGTAAGCATTGAAGCCCTTTTATTTCACCTCCTTTTAGAAAGCTATAAAGCCTGGTGCCTAAGTGCACGCTTCCTCCGGAGGTCCAGGGTTTATAGCGCCACAGGAAGGCTTTGTTGTCTAGTGTTTGGCAAGAGGCGGGGCAGGAAACCAGGCTGAGGGCAACCCAGAGGAAATATTATAGAACTGGACCAGAGTCAGGAGGAAGTGGCTTTCTTCCCCCCAAAATGATGGAATTCTACTATGCCTACACTGTCGAACTCACCCGCTTCTTTCTATTTTCTTCTTGCTAAGTTTTTACTTGTCTTGTTTTCCCATCACTTTTATTTCCAAAAATAACATTCCTCCCTCTCCTATCCAGAAAGCCATCCTTCATATAACAAAGAATAAAAAAGAAAAAGGGAGGGGGATAAAGCAATTCAGTAAAATGAACCTCAATTAAGTTTCAAAGTACATGTAACTATCCCACACCAATAGTCACCTACACCTCTGTAACAAGAAGGAGATAAATGTTATCCCTTTTGGGGGGCCAGATTTGACCAATATAATTACACAGCATTTAGTTTTGTTTTTGTCATTGTTGTTCTTTCCATTTGGGCTGTAGAAGTCATTGTGTATATTTATTTCCTGTTTCTGCTTTCACTTTGTATCAATTCATATAAATTTTCCCATGTTCTGTGTTCAACATATTACTTTGCTTATGATTCCACTACATTCTTGTGCCACAACTGGATTAGCCATTCCCAAATCAATGACTATCTACTTTGTTTCCAGTTCTCTTATACTATAAAAAGTGCTGCTTTAAATATTTTGCTGACATTTTAGTCACTTTGTTAGTATAATTCCAAACTGCATTACAGAATGGATGAACCTATTTACAGATCCACCAACACTGTATTAGTGTACTTGTCCTTCCTCAGCCCTTCCAACATTGAGTATTCCCCTTTTTTTGATAGCTTTGTAAATTTACTAGGTATGAAGTTTTAATTTTCAGAATTGTTTTGTCTGCATTTCTCTTACTAGTGATTTGGAGCAATCCTTCATATGATGGTTTTTTGTTTACATTCTTCTTCTGAAAACTGTCTGCTTGCATCCTTTGACTACTTTATCAACTGGTAAATATAACTCTTGATGCCTTCCACTTCCTTTTCTTTTTCCTTCCACTTTCAAAACCCAACTTATTCAGAGCCAATTTGAGACTGGAAGCAAGAAGATGAGAAGAAAAAAAAAACGTTCTTTTAGGAGGAACAATAGATAACTGTGAATGTATACGTGTAAATGCATGTACATTTGTGACAGCTCGCCCCAAAACTCTGAAAAGTTGTCAGAATCCATCTCTGTGCATGTATTTGACCTTCTGCCCAGCATAGCCCTTGAGAGGAGAAGGTATATTCTCTCTATTTTAGTATTCTAGAGCCAAGAATAGGACCCTGAACATGGTTACTGTTCAAAAAATGTCTGTTTTAGCTGAATCAATGAAAAACAAATGATGTACCAGTTAATAATCTGGATGTTTTCTAAACAGATGTACCTGACTTACTGGTTGGCTTTTCATTTATTGGAACGTGTGTGTGTGTGTGTGTGTGTGTGTGTGTGTGTGTGTGTGTGTGTGTGTGTGTGTGTGTGTGTGTGTGTGTGTCTCCATCCATGAGTATTTATGTAGTTCCAAGCATTTCCTATCCTAGATAGATTTACTTTCCTTTTCCTTCCCCCCCTGCCCCTGCACTATGCAATTTTATTATTGTTGGAAATGCTCAGTTTAGATTACAAATGTAATTAACGTGGAATTCTCATTTACTCAGCCTAGTACATTAGGCCCACTTGTACTTGAGCAAAACTCATTTTTGAGGAAGTACGAATCACCACCATACCCCAATTCAGTATGCAGCATAAGCTAAATGTTCATAGGGCTTTGAGAGGGGCAGAACTTTAGAAAATATCTAATCCAATACCTCCATTTTTCTGGTGAGGAGAAGGCAGCCAGGAGGGATTGGGATTTACCCAAAGTCACAAAGGTAGGAAATAGCAGAGCTGGAAGTCCTTTAAGGGACACAAGAGAAGGCTTGATGGTAGGGAGGGGCACCCCTAGTTCTCCCACCAGTCAGTGATCCCCTTATGTAGATATACTGTAGGGTTTTCTCTAAACTTTTTTTTTTAATGCTATGAACAAATTCTTTATTGTTTATCAAATATAGAAACAGCATTTTGAAAACAGACATTTGGAAATGTTTTCATCATTATGTCATTTTGTTACCCAACATGATATAAACGTGTCACCTACAAAAACTTTGTTGTCTGCACGCTTTTTTTTTTTTTTTACTTTGTGTTCACTTTATTTTTAAAATTTTTTTTTGTTTGGGGATAATTTTTTTTTATTTTACACTTAAATACAAAATGAGAAGAGAAAAAAAAATCTGTTTCTAAGCTTTTTCATATTCCCAGCCTGCTACCTCTGCACGGTGTGAAGAATTCCATGAATTTGCTCCCTTTGGATAGAGGTAAGAAAATCTTTAATTTATTCTAAATGTACCTCTTTCTAGTTTTAAAGGAGAAACACCCTACGCAGATATGGGTTCTAGAAATGACTGTGTAAAACCAGTTACTGCCTTTCTTTGGGCCTCAGTTTCCCCATCTGTAATACAGCAACATTCTATTAAAATAATTAGCTTATTTTAAACCTAAGAGCAATAGAATTCCCTCTAACATCTACTTGTTCCCTTATCTGGCTTATTTTCAATGAAAAGTTCTCAAGTCAGTCACAATTACTCTAAAACTCTAATTAGGAAAATTCCTAACATTTAAGCAGATGTTGGGCTTTCTGACTGACTTCACATTTATATCTATTTTTAGTTAACTCCTGGTCTTTTTGTAGTTGAGACAAAATTAGGTTTACTAGAAATCTTTGGGTAATAAAATAGTAGATTACATTACAGTTTTTGTAGATAATCAGGCATGGAGGATGGGGGGGGTACGGCAAAGAAGCTGGGTAAAGAGCTGACCTTGCATGCTTGTAGAGCCAGTGACTCCCCTTAATATCTCCCTTCTCTGTCACAGCTCCGGACTTCCTTTTCTTCTGAAAGGTATGCTGAAATGCCATGCGGGCTTCAATCTCTTCAAATTCAGGTCCTTATATTATAATACCTTCTTCCTTTTATACAAATTGCTTAAGGCATGACCCAGTCTTTTACACAATGGCTTTGATTGATTCCAAGAGGTGAATTAGCCATGTTCACACTCAGTTCTGATTGTTTAATTCAGTCAAAAGGTGTTCTTACCTAAAGTTATTGCTTCTAGTGGGTAGAATAATCAATAGAGCCCCACTCTTACAGTTATATGAGGAAGCTGTATTACTAGTCACTAACAGGCTAGGTGATCTCTGGGAAGTTTCTTGACCTTGATTTCTGCTTCTGTAAAATGAGGCTGGGAATCGAGAAATCCTGGTTCCAGTTCCAACTTTACTACTAACTTGACATTCAACCCTGAACAATTCATATGATCTCAGTTTAGATTAAATGACTTTCTGAAGTTCCTTTTAATTCAAAGAATGTGTCTAGTCCTTGAGGTACTGTAAAAGGCAAGACAAATTTTATCCCTTCTCTGAAACAGCCATGAAGTTATAGGCTCTGATTAAGAGTCTTTCTAAATCAAAGCCTCATTGTCAGGTCACCTTCTTACAGAAAGAATCCAATACTAAAATGAGTCATTCAAATAGCAATGAAATTCGGACCCCTTCCCTCCTAACTCCAAACCAACAGAAGAGGGTTATAAAATGTCATCACCAAAGTCTTGCTTGGGCAAATGATTTATGTACTTTCTCTCTTGTCCCTCAACCTGAAAGGTCTCCACATAACAAATCCATTCCAAACATTTAGTAAGTGCCTACTAGGTTTTGTGAATCATGGCTACTCCTACCCACTGAACAGGAATCCCCTCCAGTAAAATGGCCATCCTGCCTCCACTTTTAGAAAGCCACCTTTCCAGACAGCCGTTCCATTTTGGTTCAGCTTTCTTAAGAAATTCTTCCTTATTTCAAACAAAAATATGTCTTTCTGTAACTTCTAAGCACTGCTCTTCCACTAATTGGTCTGCTCAAATATCTCCAATAACTAGTTTACTATCTATTGAAAAACATTCACCCTTTGCTTTAACATTAGGAGTCTGGAAAGCCCACTGTGAATCTTCACTCCTGAATCATCAAGAGACAAGTGTGTTTATAAATTTAACAGATACTTAACAGACAGCATTACAACGTTCAAAACACAGGGAGCACCCTTTGGCCTCCAGCCAGCCCCCTACTATCTATAAAAAAGCTATCAAAAACAACTGAATCTGTGCTGCATGAGAAAATTTCCTTTCAAGTTCCTACATCCAGTAAACACTAGCTCTATATAAATGGATATGAAACCTTCTCTTTGTATTTACCTGCATTCTCCCTGGGGTCTGAAAGTAAACAAATAATTGTGTTTCCTATTATAGATGTTGGATAACTGATCATGGTCTTCAGAGGTATGGACCTATTTTTGAAAATATTTATCTTTGAAATAGGTAAATTATTTATTTGTAATTCTCTAAGAATGTGTCATCATTTTTTGTCTCTATGTTTCCTGTTCCTCTGTAGCTCTCATTGGATGGTTTTTCTGAAATATAAAGATCTTGAATCTTGTGATAATGGCGGTGGGGTAGAGGAGTTTGACATACTAAATAATACTTCCTTTATTACTCATTTCCATTTCTGCATGTTCAACTTGGGAAGAAAGTAACCTTCTAGTTTAATATTTCAAATTGTCAAGTTGATTCGTGTGTGTGTGTACATATGTAATATATCAAAAGATGTGAACTATTTGTTAACTTCCAGGAAAATACATTTTTAATTTTTCATCTGTTTAATTCAATTTTAACTAATATAATTTCTTTAATTTTTTTTCCTCATCTGTAAGACAAATAGGTTTGACCAATTATCCTATGACCTTTAACACTGCATAGATGCCCTTTTAGCTCTAGTGTTCTGTGACTTTCTGATCCCTGATACACGTGACCTTGTTTTAGTCATGAAAGACTGATTCTCTCAGTAAATAAACTGATTTTCTGACCATGCACTAATGGCCATACACTTAGTAAATTATCTAAATTAGAGGTATCCATACCTTGGATTTTGTAATACTGTACTCTGATGAGAAAACATGGCATAGCAGACAATAGACTATTGGACTAAGTAAAATCTTAGTTCAAATCCTACCTTTGATAGGGATAATAATATTTCCATAGTAACTACATTATAAGACTGATATGAGGTTGAAATCAGATAATGCATATAAAGTGCTCTACAAACTTAAAAACACAATATATGTTGGGGTGGAAGGGAAGGACAGAATTGTACTTTTATGAGGATATGGAATACCCAACGAGGAAACTCCCTCTACTAAAACAGATCAGCCACTGCTCTGCAGTTTATAGTTCTAGAAAGTTTCCTGAAGAACTGACAGGTTAAGTGATTTGCCTACGGTTACAAAACCAGTCTATCAGAGCCCAACCTTAAACTTAAGTCTATGTGACACTGAGGTCCACTCTCTATCTTACTACCCTCCATGTACTCTTTGATCCAGTGACACTGGTCTCCTAGCTGTTTCATAAACAAGGCACTCCATTCCATCTCTTGACTCTGGGCATTTTCTCTAGCTGTCTACCATGCCTGTAATGCCCTTCCTCTTCCCTGGATTCCTTCAAGTCCCAGCTAAAATCTCATCTTCAACAGAAAGCCTTTCCCAACCTCACCTAATTCTATTGCCTTCCCTCTGTTAATTATTTCCTATTTATCTGGCATATAGCTTGTTTGTACATATTAGTATCAGCTTACATTTATACAGCACTTTAAAGTTTGCATTTTCCTACCCCCTTGTGGGGTAGGTAATAAAAGTATTATTACCCCCATTTTACAAATGATAAAACTGAGTCACAGAGAGTTTGTGTGATTTCCCCAAGACCAGATAGCTAGTAAATGTTGGAGCTAGGATTCCAACCTAGGTCTTTTAACTCAAAACCCACTGCTGTTTCCATTTGTGGTATTCCCTCCAGAGCCACCCCAAACTCATGCTCAAAGGTTGGGTCTCTGTGAGAGGCAATTGCCCTGAATTCATATGAGTCAATATGACTAAAACAATAGCTTATGAGCCCCTTTAATAGTTAACCAACAGACAATTGGTTCAAAGCAAAAACATCTTCTGACACGGCATGATATGAACAGTAGCTATAAAATATTGCCCCCATAAAACTGGGATACTCCTCCACCAACACACACAGCTCAGTAGGAAGAGTTGGCATACACACGGAGTACCCTAGTGAAGAGGCATACAGGTAGGAAATACATGTGGTCAAGGCAACCGACATCTCCAGGGCTATTGGATCCCAAAGTCCTTTCTCTTTCAGTGATGTCATCACACTACTCACCCTTGGACTCAGCATTTCTAACTGGGCAGATCCTCAGGCTGCCTCTCCACAGCTCAATTTCCAACCGCCAGAGCTAACTAGCCTTCTCTTCTTTCACACTTGGCTCTCTTCCCTGCGGCCAGAGGTTCTACTCCTCAGAGCTGCCTTAGTTTTCCTTAAGCCAGCTCATGTAGTAGCTCCAACTGAAGGAGGAGCTCCACTGCAAAGTACCGTGGCCCACTGGGGTGGGGGAGGGGGAGTAGTATGGGTAGATGAGAGAACAATCTTGCCTTCCCCTACACCTCTGCCAGAGGGCAGTGGATAGCAATGGGTGATTCTCCTCTCAAAAGCTGAATTCTTCCTTTGTAGGTCTTCAACGTTAGGATTATCGCCTCAAAGCTCCTTCCTGCTTCAACTTTCTGCTTCCACTGAAAATTGTGTCTAGATTTTAAAGGGCCATTAGGGTCTAGGATGTTGGCACATGCCTTTTAATTCCATCCAGTCTGCCTAAGGAATTTAGTCAAACTTCTAAAACGCATAATAAAAACTGTCCTCTAATTCCACTAGGTTTCAGCGAAGGACTTCTTCACGTTACAGTCAAGATTTAAACAGCTCTGCAACCTGCCCCCTTATATTCTGTGATTTTATCAGTTAGGATGATAGGAATTTAATTGATCAGAGGTGTCCTGAATAATCCTCTACTACACTCTCCTCACCTAAGTTAAATATATGCTATGCCCAACAAATCAACAGAGGTGCTTTCAGCATTTGTGTTTACAGTCCCAATTCTGGATTGTTCTCTATTAACTAGAGGAAGTTAAAGCATTGTCCTTTTAAGTGTCTCCTAACAGAGTTTCTGTTAAGCCCATGTGGCACAGTTCTCAAGCAAATGAAAATTAACAGCCTTCTACAACTCCATGAGGACCTAGGCCTGTCATAGATAATGGGTCTGCAGATTATACTCACCTCCTTCCCACCCCCCAAATACATAGTTAAACAATTCAACCAATGGTAATCATCACCTATTGTTTGTAAGTTGTACCCTTAACTTAAAAAAACTGAGCAAAGGCGAAAAGAAAATTTTGTTTCCCTCACAAAAGCCTGGTCCCAACAGAGCTCTCAAAAGCAATAGGAGAACTGAAGTTGATTGGAAGTCATTCCCTAATGCCTTAGGCAACCTCAAGCTGTTTTGTCATTGTCAAGTAGTTTTATCATTGATTGTATTACTTCACATAGATATCTTCATAGAATGTACCCCAAGTGAAGAACTATATTTCTTAGAATTGGTGAGAAATCAAACTGTTTTCTGTGAAAATTCCTTTTGGTCTCTGTGCCAACAGTAGGGCACCTTAACCTTCTCCAATTACATGCTGTGATTTTATCTTGTAGGGTGTGGAAGTTAATTAATTATGGGTCTCCTTATCAGCTTCCCTCACTATACTCTATACTATATTTCCAAAGAATAATTTAACCATAGGAACCTTTTGAGCCCTCATGTCTTCCTCGGTCTGCACAAGACACAGCCCTCAACAACTTTGTGGCCTGTAGCCTTTGATTATGCTGAGCTGTTGGGAGACAGGAGGCAATTCACTTCTCATCTACCTTGGGAAAGAGAGAGCCAAACCTCTCACTCCATTATTCACTGAAGACCAAACTCACCCCCATCCCTTCCCAAATCCTAATTTCAGGGTCCAATCCCAGTCCTATCTCCCTACTCACAAACCCTGAGTTTCCACAAATCACCCTATCAAGAGAATTTCCTACTGGGGATATACTCACCATTCTGAGTGCCGTTATCCCAGTCCCAGGCCTCCACTATCAGGGTGAATGATCGCTAGAAACAAAGAGAGAGCACTAGTTAAGTGTGGATGGTTTGGCTTAGACCCCAAAGATTGACAGCTCTTTAATTTCTACTCCATTCTGTCCAAACGACTGATTTCTGACCCTGTGCTATAGGAAGAGACCTCAGCTGGGGAACATGGAGGTTCCATGTGATATATGAAAAGTGCCCGGTATTTGGATCCAAGAGACCTGCATTGGAATCACAGGTCTTCCATGGAGTGTGACCTAACACAAATCACTTTCTCTCTCTGGGCCTTAGTTTCCATCTCTGTAAAATGGGAATAATTGTACTACTTATCTCATAAGACTGTTGTGAAGAAAGTACTTTTGAAACCTTACTGAATCACTTACTACTTACATAATTATTATCTTACATAATTACTAGAAAACTAGGTATCATTACTCTGAGAGCTCATAATCTAGGAAGAGAAAAAGATAATTATAATATAAGGCAGAGTGTGAGAAAAGACATGAAAGAATGCTCCATGATCACTTGTAACCATGGAAGGGAATAATCAAAGATGTTTTCATGGAGAAGATGGCTTTTAAGATATACTTTGGAAGATGGTTAGGACTTTGACAGAGGGGGAATGGAGCAATTTCAGGCAGAGGAAACAGTATGTACAAGGGTATGAAACCAGAAGGAAACAGGATGGATGCAAGGGTGACAAGTGATTCAGTTTGGCTGAGCCAGAATGTAATAGGAGATGAGGTCAGTGACACAGGGCAAGACTGTGGAGAGCATCACAGGATTCTATAGAGAGAGGACAGCCACCGAAGATTTATAAGCAGAGGACTGACATGGTCTTCTATAGCTCAAAGTCTTACAAAATGCTTTCCTCACAAGAGTTCTGGTATTAGTATCCCCATCTCTGCATCGACTGTCTCCCATGTCTGGTATCGATTCTGTCTTCACGTCCACCTTACAGAATATTTCTTCCTTTAAGATGCAGCTCAAGTACCACCTTTTATGAGAAGTCATTCTTGATCCCCTCAACTACTACTGTCTTCCTTCTCAAACTGCCCTGTATTTATTCTCACTTGTACACATAGAAAACAAAGAAAAAGCTCACCTCTTCATATGAGACAGGGGTGAAGGAGGTAATAGTGGCAAAAAGCATCTGAGTGATATCAGATGAAGAGGGGAAACTTTTGGCAAATGGCTTTTTTTTTTCATTGAAAATCAAGGTTCTCAGCAGAGAGGGTGGGGGGAAATTTGAGGAGAGATGAAAAGACTGGGAAAAATCACTTCAGTAGGGGGATAGTGAGCTTTAAAAGGTGCCTTTTGGCCATAGTGACTTGGTTTCCTGGTCACAAAGAGTATAAGCAGGTACAGCCACATAGAGTTGGGTCCTTCAAACTTGGCATTTCCATATGAAAAGAGAAGGTAAAGATGGGGCATCTACCCAAGCTAAGTACTGGAGTATCTTTTTTGAATATCCTTTCTATGCTATGGTTGAGTAAACTTTCTACAACCTACAAAAGTGTTTCATTTTATTCTAGCATTGAACCTGAACAGATCCCAGACTGAGTCATGCCCACTCCTAACATATTGCAGTCAGTAACTGGGATAGGATGGCCCTGTTATTCCCATTGTCACAATGGATGCTACAAACATATAGTATTACATCTTCGTAGAGGTGATCAAATGGTTAGGTACAGAACCCTGGGGCAAGGGCCCTTCTGGTAAAGTATAGAGAATTCTCTCAGTGGAAGAAAGCAGGCTTCCACTGATGCAATGATTGGCTCAGTGGATACTAGGCAAGGCTGCCAGGGAGGGTAGAGAAAGTGTCAGGTCTAGTATATTCCTTACTTGATGTTGACCATCCTGAAGAAGTTAAATTGCCAGGATCTATTGAACATAAATTTGCCCAGCACATTCAGCAACTAGTCAGTGTCCTCAGCATTTAATGACTGTATGACCAAGGCTGAGGGACAGCTAATGAGACTGGTAACAAAGAAATAAAGGGAGCTCTGCTGATGATGGTGTGGGCCAACAGGCCAAAGACAGGAACTACCTTCAGCAGGAAGTACATGCTCCAACTCAAAGATTTCCCTGCATTGAACTGATCTCAGGGGCACAGGAAAGGATAATGAGAGCATAAGTGAGAAGGAAACTTGGAAATCCATCATAAGGAAACCCCAGGCTTATCGTCCTTTTGTTGATACTCAATGGAAAGGACTTTCTTTCCCCAAGGGAGCAGGGGTGAACAGTTTTCACCCAAGGAACTGGACAGACTGCAAGAGAAATTCAAATAGTAACCTGATAAGTCACTGGAACAATGGCTTGATGAAGGAGTTCTAATGGAGCCAATACAGAGACCTTCCCTGCAGCTGAGGTCCCTAGGTTTAGGGAGCTCTCAGAGATCTTAGTACTGCAAGGCCAGATGAAAGAATAGTCTTCATGTGGAGACTATCCTTTGTCCTGTTTTAGGTGACTAAGGCATACCTAACCCCATAAAAATAAATTGATATTGCAACCCATTCCCCAGTGCAGGTCTACAGGGAATGACATTAAGTTCGTAAAGGAAATAGATTTGATAAATTGGACCTAGATGGTCTTCACAAGGCTTACCACAACCAGATCCTGCTCTCTGGGTAGAACCCTGTTTCAGTGATTTTAGATTTTGGCTATAGACAACCCCTCCTGAATCTACTTCCCCTCCCCCTCCCCCCTTCCCCCTCCAGGGCAATCTATACAGATGTGGACTAATAACTGGAGAAATCTGAGCAGGAGACAGGAATAGCTGTGACTTAGGAATACATTAATTTCAATGTAAATAGGCAGTCTAAAAATGAGGGGACAAGACACAGAACCAGCCTGGAGGGAGACGTGGGTGTGACTGTGAAATACAGAGTCGAAAAGAAAGCAATCTATGGCCAGATTATGGCAGGGCTAGTAAAACTGTACCTCCAAGTCCAGCACCAGAGCAGTAGGGACCCTTCGGCTCCACCCAAATCTAAGACATCCCCTAAAGCTTCTACCCCATATGTATCATCCAAAGTGTACCCCTTAGAGAGAAGGAATATCATGAGTTGTTAGGAGTTACATAACTGTTCTGTATGGGTCCTTTTGGTAACTTCTATGTAGGTAATTTTGTTGTTGTTCAATTGCGTCTGACTTCATGACATCATTTAGGGTTTTCTTGGCAAAGATACTGGAATAGTTTGTCATTGTTGCATGCCTGTGAAACCTGGACGGTATACTAGCACCATGCCAGGAAACTGAATCACTTCCATTTGAATTGTCTTAGGAAGATTTTGAAGATCACCTGGCAGGATAAGGTACCAGATACTGAGGTCCTTTCTCGAACTAAACTGCCAAGCATTCAAACTCTGCTGCAGAGTACAACTCTGATGGGTTGGCCACATTGTTCAAATGCCAAACGTATGCTTCCATAAAAGACTATTTTATGGAGAACTCACACAAAGCAAGCATTCACATGGTGATCAGAAGAAGCGATACAAGGACACTGTCAAGGTCTCTCTGAAGAACTTTGGAACTGATTGCATGACATGGGAGATGCTGGCACAGGACCACCCAGCATGGCATGCCCTCATTAAAGCAGATGCTGGTTGGTTGGTTGTTGTCCTTCATTCTCAACCAATGAAGATCTAATACCCAAGACACGTGGCAAATTAACACAAATATATAAAGGCAAGAGTCATTCCCCAATGGGGAAATGATAAAAGGATATGAACAGTTCTCAGAAAACAAATTATGAATAACCATATGAAATAATGCTCCAGAGCATTAGTAACAAGAGAAATGGAAATCAAAACCACTCTGAGATTTAAACCTCAGACTTAGCAAATTGGCAAAGATAATAAAAGATGAGAAAAGTAAAAGTTACAAAATTTGTGGAATGACAGAAACATCACTGGTGAAGGCAGTGAATTGATCTAAACATTCTAGAAAATAATTTTGAACTATACCTAAAAAGTCACTAAAATGAACATCCTCTTTAACTCTGTGATACCTCTACTAGGTATAGACTCAACCCCACAGAAGTCTAAATCAGTCTAAACTCCCAACAACTCATGCAGAGAAAACAATACTTATAGCAGCAGCTTTTATTGAAGAAAAAAAACCTGAACCAAAATGGGGGATTGCTGAGCAAATATGCTATTCAAATGTAAAGGAATATTATTATACCATAAAAACGGGATGGATTCAGAACAATCTAAAAAAGACTTGCTCTGAAATGATGTAGAGTAACATGAATAGAACCAGGATAACAATTTATACAATGACAACAATAACATTAAGGAAATAAACTTTGAAAGACTTCAAAATTCTGATTAATGCAATGATCAATCATGATTTCAGAAGACTGATGATGAAACATGCTTCCTCTTCCTGGCAGGAATGATGTAAATATGCTTTTGTCTGACTATACCAATGTGTTACAGAGGATGCCTTGTGGGGATGAGGGGAAAATGTAGAGAGTTACTGGGCAAACGAATGGCTAGTAATATTGATATAAAAATAGAGAAGACAAGAAAGAAAAGAACATCAATGACACATTTACAACATACCCGAATGAGAACAGAAGGAAGTTCAAGAGAGGACCTAAGAAAAGCACAGCAGTTTTGGTACCATCATGTTCTATTTAATACCTACTTTAAAAATAGACCAGGGAAAAGATATGAACAAAGGCCTTTGTTGTTGAGTCATTTCAGTTGTGTCCGTCTCTCCATGACCCCAGCGGGGGTTTTCTTGGCAAAGATACTGGAGTGGTTTGCCATTTCCTTCTCCTGCTCACTTTATAGATGAGGAACCGAGGCAAGCAAGGGCAAGTGACTTGCCCAGGGTCACACAGCTAGTCTGAGTCTGAATTTGAACCCAGGTCCCCCTGACTCCAGGGCTGGTACTCTATCCACTGCACCACCTAGCTTCCCACAAGTACACAAGAGGTAGGGAAAATTTCTAAGTAGGGAAATGACATGCAAAGTAGGAGGATGCCTCAGTGCCTACAGACTATAAAGTCT